AACCTTTTGTGAAACAGAAAGGTTCTTCAGATGTTAAAGGTTCTTTATGGAACCATTTAGACAAAAAGGTTCTTCTATAGCATCGTGAAGCACCTTTATTTTTAAGAGTGTAGTCAGAACATTCTGTTTTTGCTTCAAATTGGGTTATTATTAAATCAAATTATGTATATGAAATTATATAACTAAATGATATGAAATGATATAAATGATATGTATATGAATTATATAACTAAAATTAAATAACTGTAATTACAGATTTAGGTTAAATAAAGATGTCAGTCTTTATTTTTCTTCTTTTTAGGAAACAAATCAAAGAAAAAATAATCAAATTCTACTATTCCTAATATTCTGTATGTTGCTCAAAAACAAAATATATTGTGTTCAGCGGAAAAAAGTTTTTTTTGTTTTTTTTTACCCAGTCATTTAAAAATAACAAATTTTAGAGCTGTAATGACAATACCGTGATACCGTGAAACTGTGATATTTTTGCTTAAGGTTATTATACAGTCAAAATCTCATACTGGCCCATGCCTAGTCTACAATATCATAATTGTTGTTTCTAAACACGCTTTGAAAGCCCATGCAGCAAAATTGATCTAATTATCATTATCGCTAAAATACTGACATATAATTTTTTGTCAATAATATTACACACCTCCAATTGTGAAACTGAATCACAATAAATAAAATAGAAAAAAACTATGTATTCATAGATAATACATAATGTTCTGTTTGAAATGTTTTGTGAATAATGATTTTTGTGTAAAATTTTGCCACTGAAAAAATACTGTTCAACCACTATTTTTTTTTTCAGACTTTGTGAATAGCCTTTTACAATACCATAAATAACGCATATTACATTCAAATGATAGACTTTTCTGTGCAAATAAGAGCTAAAGATACCAAACCAAAAACCATCCCATACACAAAACCATTTTTAAAGTTAATAGCACAGTATAACGAGAATATCATTTAACATCAGTGACTACCTTTGCGCACCATAAAACAGATCTGCTGAGTAATGGAAGAAGAGAGAAAGCTACAACTGGGTCAAAGATAGGTTAAACGAATATGCCAAAAAGCTGAGAGCCCCTGAACTGCGGTTTCACAAAGGCTAAGCCTGTGCCCTGCCTCTAAATCATTTGACAGTTGGTATGCTTTATAAAACTCTGTTGCCAGTCTCTTCAATGCCTAGCCAAATGAGAGACGCGCAGTCATCTGGCAAGGCCAAACAAAACATGCCAGTGATTCGAAACGTCCATGAAATATGAATAATGCTTTAAAAAAAAAAAGTGTCTCTTAGCTGCCAGACATGGGCTTATTAAAAGTCTCTTGACCATGCAGCCTTCAAATGAGCATGCGGCCGAACAGACTAGTTTATGCTGGTGTAAAACGGTGTGAAAACTCGACTGGGTCCGATCCAAATCTGGTTCCGTTTCGTTATTCACAACAGACAGTCTGTTGATCATCACATTCTCACTTCACTATAAGTGACAGTGAATCTAGGTCACGACAGTGAAGAGACGACAGCCACTGGAGCTCGATTACCTTGACTGTACAATTAACGAGTTCAATTAATACCCTGGTACACAATAGTATAAAACCGAGCCAAAGAGCATTAAATTAATTTGTCATACGAGTGAGCCGATACATGGTGATTCCCTTGATATGTCCTCGCTAATCTGTTTGTGCTCAAAACAACATCAGCCAACAGTCAGGTTGCCATGGAGACAATTTTTTTTTCATCAGCACCACTGAATGCAAGTATGTCAGTGCTGGTGAAATAATCATGAATTGAAACTAATTCAGTATTGAACAAAGGCTGGGAAAATATTGTTACAGATGCTGTAGATCTTCAGAGCAGCTTAATACGGTCACAGCCCTCTGGAACACTCAATTCTGATAGGTCAATCAGAGGACTTTTGCAATCAAATAGGTCACCGCTCATTATTGCAAAATAATGTAAAGTCAGATGATGTGTCAGCTGCTTCATGCTGGGGTGTATTTTGCAGTAATGAATAACTGAGTACATTATATCTTACATATTTGATAGCAAAATGCCATGGCTGAACTCTGAATCAAGTATCATTATGTGGTATAATAATATGACTACCCAGCAAATGAGTATCTGGGAATGAAATTCTGACTAAATGCTATAATCTTACTGGTACACTGTTTAAAAGTTTGGGGGTCAGCAAATATTTTTTTTAAATTAATATTTATTTAGCATTTAATTGTATTAATGCATCAAATTGATTGCTTCATAAGTGAATAGTGTTCTTCAAAGTGGAAAGTGTCATAGTTTCCACAAAATTATTAACCAACACAACTGTTTGCAACATTAATATTGTGAAATGTTTCTTGAGCATCAAATCAGCATATTAGAATTATTAAAAAAAAAATCCAACCCCAAGCTTTTGAAAGGTAGTGTATATTCGGTTTCTTTTTTCTGCATAATATTTTTGATTTATTGCTTTAACTGGAGACACCCGAGCTTCCAGTCCTCCATTATAGGTTTAATGTTTACCATAAATATAAATCTCAAGTCCCTCAAGGTCACTGTTACTAGTCACTGAATGAATCGTATCCTTTGCAGGATACTGACCAGATCTACATTATCCCTCTGACAAGAGCATGTTCCCACATACAGGTAATAATGGCTGACAGTCTACAGCAGCAATATGGGTCTTACGTAAAAGAATCAAGCACCCACACAAAAAAAAAAAAAGAAAAAAAAAGAGAATTATCCTTCAGAAATGACAGTTGTGATATTGTGCCTATTGGACAAGCATGCAGTCGATCTTTAATTTTCACAGCTTGAGGGTGTGCTATTTGCTCTCTTTACTACTGGCTTTATAAACGTAGCGTGTGGGAGGGTTGGCTCCTCACCATTGCACTGATGGTTTCCTCCCAGTCAGGTCGCTCTCGGGGGTGGATGCTCCTGGCAAGCTCTGGCACGATATCGTCTTCTTCCGGGTGCCGTCCAGGCCTCAGGCCCCTGAGGGGAGAGGGGAGGGAGAGAAAAGAGGCAGAGAGTTAGTCTGATAGCCTGTGAAATAAACGGATATAGCCTGCTTTGCGGCTGCCTTTGAGAATTACGACAGCGGAGCTGAGTGGAATATCAGACAGTCAGTGTGACAGAAAAAATGACAAGTCCTCAATGTAAGGCAGTGAATTAGAACATCCCATCCTTCACAGAGGTGTTAATGGCAGCATCATTTCAATTAAGCAAGATGTCGAAACTAATCACAGTGACATGAAAGGGAAAAATTATTATCCAGCATGCACAGCAGTGAATCAAAATGAGATCCCTACAACAGCATGTAGGGATATCTGCCAATTTATGGGGGGAATCTGCAGTTTTCTTTGGAAAAGCCTGCCGTCTAGAAAAGTTTATCATAATCATATGGTCTTTAATGGGTGATATAAAAGAAAGTTAAGATATTATGTCCTTCCAACCCTGCTGAATGAGAGGGTGGGAGAGACAAAGTGGCAATCTGGCACATCTCACATGGGCAAAATGACAAACCACCACTGATCAGAGATGAAAAGCGCAGCGCGGTCAGTGGTACCGTTATACTTTCCAAAGTGGGGGATGTTCTGACAGAACAGAAAATTGTTTCCATAAAAAGGCTTGGAACAAATGACATAAAAGTTATACTATATGGATTAAACCAATGTGGATGACCTGGAAAATGGCTTTGAATATTTATTTATCTGCTTTGAGCAGAGACTCTCACGTTGGAGTGAAATACGTGACCCTGCATCTTACAACACACACATCCAGCAAATGTCACTAACTGTGAGAACGTGCCTGTATTTTTACTTTAAATATATGTTGCCATTTTGCAATAAAAAAAGAACTTGACATCACCACACAAATCTGAGCTAAATTAATGACACGGTTTGCATCCTTGTAAGACTTTAATTATGCTGCTGATTTATGGAGCACAGTAAAAATGGTTCTCGCCATAAGGAATGTGCAGGGAAGGCACTATTAAGATGATATGATGAGCAGGAGTGCTATTTAAAATTATTCTTGTTCATCTGAAATTGATTCAACTTCTGACAAAATGATCTTGAAGATGGCAAGAAATGAACAAAGAAGAACAGTCCTAGCACAAGGACATTAGACTACCATTCAAAAAAAGTATTGTTTTCAAAGAAAATTATATCTAAACATCCTTAAGACAAGATCAACTCACTTGAGAAGCAAAACTGACAAGACTTATATTGTACAAACAGAATATATATTAAATTAAGTGAACTTTTTTATGCCATTGGTAAATAGTTTTTTTCTTAAGTACAAACTAGGGCTGCACGATAAATCGCATGCGATATTTAATGCGCATCTTGTCAGAAAGCCGGTTCTGTAATCAGCGGTAAATCTCCATCACCTGCGGGCTTTCACATTGAGTAGCATTAACTACACAGAGCCGTTGTTCACTGACGATCTGCGCAAAAAATCGTGCGAATATGAACGTGGTTTTGCGCAGCTCATCAGTGAACAACGGCTCTGTGTAGTTAATGCTGCTCAATGTGAAAGCCCGCAGGTGATGGAGAATTACCGCTGATTACAGAACCGGCTTTACTGATAAGATGCGCGTTAAATATCGCATGCGATTTATCGTGCAGCCCTAGTACAAACCAAACTAAATTCTGGCAGATTACGGTTTAAAACAAGAAAAAAAATGGCCTGTGGGGTAAGAAAAATAAACTTAATTCAAAACTTATCCTCTGAAAGCAAGTCTTAATACTGTACAATTTTACTGTGCAAATTGATCCAGCTTGAAGGCTGTTTAGACACAGGATTGTTACTGAAAGTAATTTTGTGCAGTGTATGCTTCAAAACAGGTCTCTGTAGCACACGTGCATCTCCTCCCCCTCTTGCTGTCAGTTTCAGGCTCACATGAACACAGATCCAACATTTCAAAGCAGAATAGAAGAGGCTGGGTTATCCATACGTTGCCGACCTGATGGGAGATTCCATCACGTACATGTGAAGATAAGCAAGGTTTTCTGGGGTGAGGGTAGCAAGATATGCTATAATATTAATGGCAGGCCCACACGGAATCTGCACCCGCAGAACTTTGCAGTAAACTCTGAAGATTTCCACAGAATTGGACCTCCTGCCATTCAGAAATTACTACAAATCTACCACCCCCTGCATGCTTAATATTTTTGCTAATCTGATTATGCTTTTAACTGCAGATATGAGCATTGTACTGTCAGATACTGGCAATTTTACACATTACACCAGTTTCAGACAAAAAATAACTAAATAAAATAAATGACTAGGAAGCCACTGGCTCCTAAAATGAACAATTAGAAGCCAAATAACTAATTACAGATATGCTCGATAAAGAGGGTTGTTCAAAACCAATTAATTTCAATTAGTAATAATAGCTACCTATTGGATTTCACATGCAAATAAATTTTTTTTTTTTTTTAAAGAATCCCATTTTTTAACAACATTAGTATGAACAAAATAAGTCTGTGAACTCAGTAATGGTTCTGAACCATTCACTAATTGAGTCTGATTCAAACAACTAACTTATATGCGAGGTTTCAATTAATCTTTTTCCTCACTAAAAAGAACCAGTTCCCAAGAAAAATAAATAAATAAAATTAATGAGATGATATCTGAGAAAACTGCATTTGGACACACAAAAATATCTCCTGACTTAATTTGTTGAGCATTTTTATTTTTGTCACATTTATGACTAATTTAGTCACAGTTTGGAGACCTTCCATGATTAAGTTTTCCCGTCTAGATTTTAATTACATATCAAATCCCCAGATTTTCCCTCAAAATCAGCATAAAAAAGACAGGGGGTATAGACAAGATCCAATCCAACTCTTAATCACATTACTTTCCTGTGTATCTCCTAGGGCTGTGCAATTAATCGATTTCGATTTTGGCCTCCAACGATTATGAAAATACAATAATCGAGATAAAACTATTATTACGCCCCCATTCCGCCCCCTTTTCCAGCGCTGCGCTTTCGTTCCTCCATAAAATGCTCACAGACGGAACAGAAAACAGACATGTAAAGTCATCTTTTAGCTCAAGGTGCGTGTCTAAACGGTCAAATACACGCAAAAATGTGTCAAAATCAGGCGCTTAGTGATTATTCATGTATACCTTCGTCGGTCATGTAATAAATGAACGTAAAGTGTTGAGAATGAAAATACGCATGTAACGGTAAATTGGATCCGTGCGGCTCTTAAAGTGACAGCGGGCTATTTTCCTGCTGTGACTGTGCGCTTAATATTAATCAAACAACAAAAGACAAATTCAAACTCACACACTGCTCTTGAGTGAAGGACTTTTGTAGCTTTAATAAGAAACAAAAAAGTGAAATTCTTACATTGAAGACTATGCTGTTTTATTTTACATTTGATCATTCATTTCTGTAGTAGGCTGTAAACTGCTTGAGACTTGCATGAAAAAAGCATTAAAGCACAGTTTGTTTCATTTGTATCTTTTTATTCTATTGTATCTTTACTTTGCTTTTTTATTACTGACTATCTCCACTCATTTATTAATTAAAGTTGTGGAAAACACCTATTAAAAATCTTAAAATGTACCTTTCTGGCCTAGTGGATCTTAAGGACATAATACAATCTGAGTATGGATGTTGTGTTTCAGCCACTGCAGGACAACAGAGATAATTGGGATGTTTCTTGGGTCGAGATGGAGTGGTCGCCATTGTGTTATGTCACAATACCCTCATCACATCCCAATGGAAGTCATTAACTCCTGGAGGCCAGTGCAGGTCATGCTGGGCTTTCATAAATCACGAAAGCACCTCTATTCTGAGTCAGCATTTCATTAACACACAGATTATATGTGGGAAAAAATGGTATATCAGAGCTGCTCCTATTCTAAAGATCCTGTCTAAGCGAGCTCCAGAGACTTCAAAATGTTGAAGCAAGTCTCACACTGTCTGCTGCACAGATTCCTCTAAGGCAACTGCCCCTAAAACAAATTACTGTAAAACATTTTCATTAGGTAGCTTGTTCTACCCTTGAGAGAAGCCATCAGGAAGATCACACTAAAAAAATTTGAAGTTATTTCAATCACACACACATTTGGGCATTTTCGAGTGGGAATGATCAAAACAACAGCTAGCCTTGGAGAGCTGGTCTAAACGAGTGCTCACAGAAGACACCGGACCTAAAGCTCGCTGTCCCCTGCAGGGCACTTTCTATCTGCAAACTCCAGTGGCAGAGTGTCAGAGAAGTAATGCCAGTCAAAGCAGCCCACACAGAGTAACACTTTCCTACTAAACTCAGCAAAGACGAAATGTTTTTTATCACGAGAGGCTGCCGGCACTGAAATCAACAGCACAGACCATAATGCTTCTGCGACTCTGAAGAGGGATTTTGGAGAAATTAAATGATGGTCTATTGGAGGACTGGTGCATGGCAAGTAGATGAAGCATTCACGTTTGCTTTCACATCTGGTTTTCAATCAATCTGTGGGTTCACCACGCACAGACTAAGAGATTGTATTTAAAGGAATAGTTCCTCCTGAAATACTTTTTGATTATTTACACCATTTATGCCCATATGACTTTTTCCATTTGGCATACAATTATAAAAAATGTGTAAATTTTCATATGCTCACACAAAGCTATCGTATAACCATTTTATTCCATAGTTTTTGGTGATTTTGCTCTATGGAAAAGAGCTAAACATTATTGTCAAATATACTTCTGTTTTCTATGAATTACAGCATAAAGGCTTGTGATGACATGAGACTACTTAATAATGACTGAATATAAATTTCTGAGTGAACTACTTAACACTTCACACAAAGTCCTTGGTTTCAAGCAGGGGCAAGTCCTGCAGGAATGCTTCGTCACTGTGAGGACGAACAAATTGTCAACTGACAGGAAAATGCTGATAGAAATGCACTCTGTCAGCATGCAATATTTCAGGAAGCAGAGAGCTCTATGCTGTTTGCGCCGTCTTACCCAATCACTGACACAAGAAGATTCTGGTCTAACATGGATGTATAAAAACAAATCTGTGTGGTTTGTCTAATAGAGCACTCAATAAATAAATCAATCACTTCTTCTGCACCCCTATGAATCTACAGTACCACAGCAAACAAAATTATATTTTATCAGAGTTGTGAATCTAAAGTCTGAATTGAATGTGATGGAAAAACACACACACACACACACATACACAGAACAATGGAATCATACAGAGGGACAATAAATTGACAATTTGTAAGGCAATTTCTGATTGCATTGCCTTCACTGGCTGCAAGCAAAGCGAACATGCAGCACTGCCACTGCAGTTCGACTGGTGAACATCCTAATGCTGTTAATTTAATGACCCACGGGCTTAAATTAGTCTGACAAATTACTCACTAATTAATTTGCAGTTACAAAACAGAAATCTCAAAAGTATTTTGATGGAGAAAAAAAATCAATTTTTTCCAATTTCCAAAATTGTATTGATCATATGTTAGTACGAGTATATTTCCACATAGCATTTGCACTAGGAAAAGAAATATACTTCAAAAGTCCCATTTAACCTGCAATCACTTCAGCAGTCAGGTGTTGAGCTGGGAGAATACGAGCTGGAAACAGTGACCTAACAATTAAGGATCTAGACTGCTAACACAAAGGTAGTGGTTTAAAAATCCAAGTAGCCTGAGATCACAAACCCGTTTTATCACTTTAGTGCCCTTGAGTGAGGCACTACACCCCCAAGTTGCTCTGAGCAAACTGGCCCTGCAATCAGCACACAGTAAGCCGCTTTGGATAATAACCGTCTTGTAAATGGCAAGTAAATGGCCACGCGACCAACTGATCTACTTTACAGGTCTCGCACTGAAACCTAGATGCCGTCAATTAGAGCAGTAACGAAGTTTAGTCTTCAAAAATGAACTATTACGTATTCTGTTCTGCACTTAATAAACAGCAAACTACTTGCCTAGCTGGAGGCTATTCAATGTCAGAGTCCTACTCTAGAGGCCGCTTATTTAAGATACGCATGCAGTGCAGTGGCAGGACAGAATAGTGAAGGATTGCAGAGCTCCAGGCCATCGCAGTATTAGGGACTGTGGAAGAAAAGCCTCAGCACAGCTAAAGCATTCCCCTAGTGACTATGAATCATAAGCACGGGTGTGTATGAAAATGACGACCACATCTGGAAAGCTTTCCACAACAGCTGAGAGAGCACGCTGCCTCCCCTTGTCCTTTTCCTCGCCTTCCTTCACTGATGTTGCGCTAATATCTAATATAAGATAAGCTGTGGCTGCCATGGCAACCCTCGGCATACCAGATTTGGACTGTGTTCAAGTGAAGCCAAGGGCTAAAATGGCTGGACAATAATCCTCAAAACGCAGGACAATTGCAGCAGAGCCAGAAACCGTCGGTGGGAAGGTGACAGTTGAGGGGTTTAGGGCAGAATTTCAGAGTGGACGCCAAAGCATGCAGGCTCTGCTGATCATGTGACTTGTACTCAAGAGCTCAGCCTTGAGAGTGGGTGGGTGGGTGTGTACTGGCACTGTAACGCATTTCATTGGCTGCCACTGCTTTACTACTCAGCATCGTGGATTTTCATACAGGCTGTGCACTCAGCACCATGTCATCTGACCGCAAAATTTGGGGTTTAATGACGGCAGGGATATATTTATGAGAAGAATGACGTTATTCCTAAGTGATCAATGATCTGAAGTTGGGTATTTACTCATGCTAGCAGCTTGGTGATGTTGGATATATGAATGCATCTCTCTAAGAACCTTTAGCCTATATTGTTTCGGCTGCATCTGCCTGTACCTCCTAACGCTTGCACTTCTGACATTTCTTCTCGAGCCCCTGGAGAGGAATAGAATGTACGTGCCCAAGCCTTCGCTGCGCACACACGCTGCACACTGAAATAACCTCTACACTTATGAATGAAACAGCAGGGAAGCAGAGGGCATGATGAGGCAGGGACACACACACTCACACAGGAGCAAGAACGCGACACATGTAGAAACAAACAGGTAGCTTAAATGAGTAAAATATCCCGGGTGACTTAGGGGTCTGATGAGGAAGGACGGTGAGTCTTACCTGTCAGAGATGTCATGACTTCCTGTGGCTCCAAGCAGTCCGAGAGCTGCACTTCCCACCACTGCAGCAGCCCCACTGCCAGCCTCCATGATACTGAATCACTGCAGGAGCAGCCTGCCACAGAGAGAGAGAGAGAGAGAGAGAGAGAGGCAGGGAGGGAGAGAATGAGAGCGAGGGAGAGAGAACAAAAAAAAAAGATGTAGAGTCAGTACAGAGTTTGAAATGAGAGACGAAACAAGATGGACAGGGTGAAAATGAGAGTAAAACAAGCAGAGGAGAGAAAATTACACAAAGATTGTGTGTCTCTAGAGGATTGTGGAAACCTGGGCAAAACTCTAATCTTCATACTCTATTGAGCACTTTTAAGATGATGCTTAGACTTTAGGAAAATTTTATTTATCTGCTTTCAAATGGTGACATTGCATTCATGTACCTTGATCTGTTAATACAATTTTTAAAAATCCAAGCAGATTAACTAGGTTGTTATTTGGTATTTGGTGAGATTATCACATCAGCTGATACCTGCACCTGTATGCCGATTAACAGTGACAGTTCTCCCTTGTGCTAGATTAAAGATTAATGTTTAGCCTTGCCAAAGGACAACAGATATTTTCAAATATCTTAAAATGGTTTTAGAAAAAATATTTAGAAATCAAATTTTTCCTTATAATTTGTCGATAAAACACAGGTGTACACAAAAATTGTCTAGTTAAAACGTGAAAAAGCTTTTACTTTAACATCCAACAGCCAATGATCATATTCTTAATTGATCTAAAATAAAGCTGAAAAAAAAAAAAAATAAAT